AAAAAAAAAAAAAAAAAAAAAAAAAAAAAAACAGCAGTCAGGGGCCTTAGACTATGTTATCTACAGAGTAGACCAGCTTTTATGGACATCAAATGATAAAAAAAATATTTATCTAGTTGTTCTGTGTACTGATTTTTAACCAATACTTACTGAATGTCTGCTAGGTGGGAGCCACTAAGAAACGAAGATGCACTGACCATGGAGGGCCATAGTCACAGAACAAAACTTTGGCATTCTGGTCTGAAACTCTAAACTGTTAGTAAGAGGTCATACATGCCCAGAAGAAACTTACAATCTAGTGTCCTATGCATTCTTTACAATCCATCTGACTCACCTCAAAATGCACAGCCCGAGGGAATGATACATGCAAGAGTAAGTTTGGAGAAGAGAGTTGGAAAGGATCCAAGACAAAGCAAATATGAATAAGATGTCAGAGGAAAAAGTAAGAATGACTACCAACACAGCTCCGTGTTCCAAGCTGGGTCAGTGGGACGACAATGAACTATTGCTAAGAATTCATCCTGTGTCACCTGTATTCCAAGTCACTGCCAAGTTCACCAAAACGTTGTCAAGGGTGGTGGCGCAAGTTTTGTAGAGCTTCTAGCAACATCTCATGCCAGCTTATAGTTTTGGGTGGAAACCATACAAAATGTGCTGGTTTTATAGGGTTTGAACCTGAAAGAAAGCAAAATGTGGTGATTTGAGGTGTATTTTTCTTAGGTTTTTTTTTTTTTTTTTTTTTTTTTTTTTTTTTTTGGTGGGATTTTTTGTTTGTTTGTTTGTTTTTTTGGTACTTGGACATAAAAATTCAGAAACAAACTTGGGAGGTCCAATCGGAAACAATTAAACATTTTTCACACTATGCTTTCAGTAACCACAGGGGTATTCTGCCAAAGGAGGCTACAGATGCTTGTTCTGAGTGTCTTCAGCAAGTTTTTGAGATGGACCAGGTAGGCCATATTTATATGACAAAAACTAACTTTGAGGTAAGGAAGATTGCCTCTTTTGGAACCAATTGTCTACTTGGGGAGAGAAAATACAGAGGGTTTTATGCATGTTGCTGTGTTAATAATACAACTCACTAGCGAATATTTCTTTGGCAGAAATGTCTTGGTCAGCCTGCTGAGAACAGTTCCAAAGCTTGAATCTGAAATGAGTGTAGGCAGTGTTTGTTTTCTATTACATGTCTGCTATTAAACCTACTCATGGAAAAGTGCAGAGTATAAATGAATAGGAAGTGTCACCAACAAGGTAACAGAAATGAATATCCACAGGTGTGGCAAAACTCACTGTTTTTCTTACTATTTACCATTCTTAATCTTAGGGTCCAAATTCCAGTTTAAAACAGGATTCCTGTCTCATTCTTCCCTTCCTTTCTTGGGCCCCCTTGTAAGGAGCAGATAGCTGAAATGCCTCGTGGGAACATGGGAGTGTGGGGCTGGCTGTCTGGGGTAGTAAGCAAGAGGGCTCTATGATGGCTTAGGAGCGCCTTACTGACAACAAGAAAATTGACCCTCCCCAGGCTTGTTTTGCAGATTTCTGGGAGGCCCATTCTTTGGATATGCAACCAAACCAAACATCTACTTCATTCTTAGGCTAAGGAAATCAAGATCCCTTCATTGACAATGGAAACTTTACTTTCTCACAAGGAAACAAAATTTCTTCTTCTTTTATAATTTTGTGTTGCTTTCTTTTCTTTTTGGAGGAACATTATAAACATTCGTTGTAATGTGCATGACCAGAATGGGAGGAATTATCCCTTTTACCACCGAATGCAAATATTTATGTTATCCTGAAAGCTCGTCGCGTGGACCTTATGCCTTCAGCACACTTAATAATCCAAGATGGGGCATTGGCTTAACTGTTCCTTTGGTGGAAGAAAGAGAGTTTACAATCTAATTAAATTAGCCTTGCAGGGGGTGATTAATCTTCTTAAGAAAACAAACTGCTTTCAAACACTTCACTATCCACTGTTTCTGGCGATTAATGAAATAATTACCAAGAGTTCTGGCCTATATCTGAAGCAGACCAGTTATGAATCTCAGACGAAGAGCCTTTGGCCCTGGCTTGTAGAAATGTGACCTGAATGGTAGATAACAACATTCCATGATTTTTTTGTTGTTGTTGTTTTGAATTGCTTTAATTCAGTTTTGAGACAAGATGTCATAGTGGAACCCTAGCTGGCCTGGAATTCGCCATGTAGTTCAGGATGTAGTTCAAACATTTGGCAATCTTCCTATCTCAACCACCACAGTGCTAGGGTTACAGGCACTAGCCACCATGCCCACCTAGTGTTCTACAACTTGTACACCCATATTTTTCCTGGTCTGCCCACAAATAAGCCTTCCATAATAATGGAGCTTTCCTGTACTTCTATTGGAGTTATTCAAACTCAAGAAGCCAATGAGGGAAAGTTAAATAATTGTCTTTTGAGATGACTAGGTGGCCCACACTCAGAAGCAGAAGCAAGACTTCAAGTCAGTCTAGGCTGTACAGTGAGTTCCCCAGCAGCTGATGCTATGAGACCAGGGCAGTGGGATGGAGATTTTCTTCTATTAACAACTTTCAAAAATACATAGGACCTTCATTCAAGGCTATAACTTAATCAGATTCATTGGGAGCCCATTTGGCCAAGGCATTGTAAGGCTTAAATGTAACTATTAATAGCCATATGGATCATTGTAATCACCATGCACCTGAACCAGGTGTCCAAGGAGTGGACAGGTAACGCAACTTGTTTACAAGGTCTTCAATTAAACAAGCAAATTCTCCAAAGACAGTTTGTTCTGAAAAATATCACCTTACTGAAGCACCACGATCAAAACTCTTTTACAAAGTTACTTATGGGATAATGTATTCCATTCACCAATCTCCCTAAAGAATTGATGGCATTTTTATGTAGATAAAATTAAATTTAGAAGAATCCACCCAATTGCAACTGACTTATAAATACATGCAGAGCAGAAAGTAAAAGACTGAATGTTTCACACTGTTTACTACTCATCAGACTCAGTTGTGAGCTCTACAAAAGATAAATGTTGTCATTTATATTCCAAAGAAGGAGACAAAGAAAGCAATAATTACAATAAAACCTGTGAAATGCTATAAAAGAAACAAGCAATGGGTACTAGACAGGCTTGAATGCAAGGACTTAATTTTAAGTATCAGAGAAGGTTTTGCAGGGCTATGTCACTTGAGCTGAGTTGGAGATGCTAGACAAGTGGTCGGTGAGCCAGAGAGGCTTCCTAGAGCAGGGGGGTGAGTCTGTGTGAAAGCATCACCAAAACGGTCTTGATGAAAACCGAATTTGACGTTGACGTTAAGCATTCCCTTGTACTCTCTGAACGTTCCCTTTCATGCCACACCTTGCTAAGCACTTTCCGGGCATTTCTCTAGTCTAACGTGACAGTCACTGTGTCAGTTGGTTCTATTCCAATGGTCATTTTTCCAATTGTTCTGAAAGGAAACTGTGGCTCAGGAAAGTAACATAACTTGTTCAGTATTACATAACAGTCAGGATTCAGAGTCCATGCTTCTCAGAATAGTCTACTACCTCCCAGGGATTCCAGAAAAAGGAGCTAGTCTTTCCTCAGGAGGCAACAGGAAGCCACTAAGAAATCTAACCAACTTGGCTGGAACCTTAAATCCAGCACTTGGAAGGCAAAGGCAGAACTCTCAGCATTCAAGACCAGCCTGGTGTACAGAGTGAGTTCCAGGACAGCCAGGGCTACATAGAGAAACTCTGTCTCAAAAATAAATAAATAAATAAATAAATAAATAAATAAATAAATAAATAAATAAATAAAAGAAATTTAGGCAACTCTCCTAAAAGTAAGCATTAGTAGTTTTTTTTGTTTTTAGAGAAACTACTTTTATTCTTTGGCATTTTTTTTAACCCTTTGGATCAATATTTGATTCCCACTATCTAAATTTGATTCTCACCTTTGTTAGAAAAGTGATTTAGGAGAGACCTTTCTGGAGATGGAGATGCTGCTTAGTGGTTAAGAGCATTTACTGCTCTTGTGGAGGACCAGGTTCAGTTTGCAGCGTCTACACCTCAGCTCACAACCATCTATAACTCCAGTTCCAGGGAACACAATGGACATGGCTCTAGGGAAACGTGATGGCCCAGGGCATCAGGCAGGCACATGGTACACACACATACATACATTCAGACAAAACACTCATAAAATAAACATGAATACATATTTTAGAAGGGAGTGAGAAGAGGAAGGAGGGGGAGAGAGATTGAGAGCCTTTTATCCACATGACTCGCAACTCCCAGAATAAAGAGGAGCAACAGCGATGTGATTTCCAGGAATGGGAGCTATAATGTGCCTATTCTGATACATTTTTTAAGTACCCTACAGAATCCAGCATGGCTGTCTCACCACACAAACATGGTGGACTCCATTTCCATATCTACTCTTATTAAGGCAGCATCAGATGCCTAGACCTTGATATCGTCAGTTCAAAATTCTTCAGCAATCTTTGCTTCATAATTGATGGTTTTTAAAGGGCAAGATTTGCTTAGAACCATGTAAAAGGCAGAAGGGTGGAACTACACTGATCTAAAATGATTTAATTTTCTAGAAAATTACTACTTTCTACAAGCTGTATAAACTTTAATTAAAAAGACAAGGAGGTCTATTCTTTCTTCTCACACACATGAGACATGCTAAACTCTTGGGATTCTGGGAGGGAGGGAGGAAGTGAGGGAGAGAGAGAGAAAGAGAGAGAGAACTGAAAAGATTGCCATTTCTAACAAAACTCTAATTAAGATGGAATGTTTATTGCCATGTTTAATGACTAACAAGAAACCAGCATTTGTTGCTTTTTCCTGGAGAAATCTTAGCTTCAAGTTTTGTGTAAAGCCAAGTTATAAAGTGAACTCAGAGCTCCGCTAATCCATGAGTTAAAGGCGGTGACCCAGTCAGGTCCTATATAAAGATATTCTCAGCTACACATCACCCAAATGAGCATTCCTGTGATTCTTGATGCATGTTTTTGTCTCTATGTTCAAACAGAATGTCCCCAACCCCTTATGAAGGAGTGTCTTGATAGTGTCCACTGCAAGTTCTCTAGAACCAGAATTAGAAGCGTGGATCCAGAAGAGGGAGGGGATGAGAGAAAAGACTGCGTCTGGAAATATCCTCAGCAATTCACGAGACACACTAGGGCCACACAAGAGTCCTCCCCCTGAGTAACCATGAGCCCCGTAATCTTCCTTTCAGCTTCTTTCTCCCTGAATTCCCGTTCTCCACTGTAGATGGCTTTCCAAGCTTTGTTCCCAAACCAGTGGGCAAAGTCATCTCAAAAGAGCATATTTGGTTCACAGCAATTTAATGTACTTTGTCCTGCTTGTAAAAGGGTTTAGGTAGCTTGGCTGCTAGTGATTTGGGCTGTCGTCAAGGCTGGCCTGTTGCGGTTAGATAAAAACCAACTTTAATAATGAGGATTTGTAGCAGAACCTCATTTAAAAAAAAATTCAAATATCTGCATATGTTCCTTCCATGCTGCAGACTCAAAAGGAAGCTTGCGGTAGCTACAGCTTCATAAGCAGCCTCTTGCACTAGAATGCTGAAGTAGTGGCAGAAAATTAGGAAATGAGGGGTAGGATATGTAGATAGCACAAATGCTTATGATTATGTACATATCACTTGAGTGTATATGTA